AGGTGCGGGGGCAGAGTCGAACTCGCTCCCGCCAGCTCTGCTCCGGGCGCGGCCGCACTTGAATGTTGATGTCAGCTTTATTAAGACTCAGGGCTCTATTAGGGCTCAACTGTTATGACTATCCCCGCCCTCCCCTCGCTTCCTCCCGCAGGCACCATGGCCCTCCCGCTCGACTTCCTGCTGCCTTTTGAAGGAGAGCATCTATGCGACTGCACCTTGGTGCTCCTGCTGCCGCCCGCGCGGGAGGCGGCACACCAAGAGGAGAGCGGCCCTCTCGACGCTGATCGGCAGCGGGCACCGCAGCAGGCAGGCGAGCAGGAGCAGCAGGGCGATGAGCGGCGGGATGCACAGCAAGATGAGAGCAAGGGGCCAGCTGCCAAGCGGCAAAAAGCAGAGCAGCTGGAGCGGCCTGAGCCTCAGCCTCAGCAGCCTTCTGAGCAGCGCAGAGTCAGTCTTCAAACCAGCTCCACCCTGCTGTCGGTCTACTCTGAAAAGTTCAGGTGCTGCTTTGCTTTGCCATTGCATCTCTACACAGGCACTGCCTCGCTGACAGGGAGATGCCGTTGCTGCAGGGACTGGATTGCTCGCTGGACGGGCGCCACCGCCGAGAAGGAGCTGGAGGTGCATTGCCGCAGCGAGGGCGAGGTGGCTGGCTACCGGCACCTGCTGGCCTTCATTCACAGCATGGGCAAGGAGGTGCCTCAAGGTGAGATGGTACTGATTGTTCCCACACATCCCTCGCAGCCCTGCTCCTTGCGGGCCCGCATGCCCAACCACCTGCGCTTGCCGCAGCCGCCGAGGAGCTGGTTCAGCTGCTGCTGCTGGCACGAGAGCATGCGGTGGAGCCGGCCGTACTGGCCTGCTTGCAGCGGCTGCAGCAGCAGGTGAGCTGCACAATGCGACTGTACTACCACTGTTGCTAAAACTATACATTCCTTGCCTACCTGTCTGACTGCCTGCCTGATGAGTGCAGGTCCCCAGCATGCCTGCCACAGCTTACGTGCCGCTGCTGTCAGCCCTGGAAACTGGTGCCTCCAGCCATGACAGCCTTCAGGCAGGAGCAGATAGGCTTGCAGCCGCCATATGGAAGCAGCTGCTGCAGTACCTGGGGCCACTGCAAGACATGCTGAATCATGATGAGCGGCGGCAGGTGTTTGTCAGCATTCCATTTGGCCTGCTGCGGGTGAGTTATAAGCTGTCGCAGTATGTGGGTGCCAGCCCGTTTATTGAGCCTCAAATGTTTAGACATCATCCACTCCGCCGCCGCAGGACTGCATTTTTGCGGACGAGAATGTGGATACCGACACCGAGGCCACAGGTTGTTGCTGCTGCTGCTGCTCCCGCCGATGCCGCCAACATGAGCCTGTCAATGTGCCATTCGGCCTTGTTGTCCCTTGCCAACCCCTGCAGTGCTGGCGGCCTTTGCCTTTTGGGCAGAGCAGAACATTAAAGAGATCACCCCGGATGCCAGGCAGCGCATCGCCGCCATTTGCAGCCGCATCCGCTTCCCGGCCATACCTAGTCATATTCTTGACAATTACTACACTTGTCACAGCTTCATGCGCACCTTTGATCCCAACAGGGAGCTGCTGTTCCGTGCGGTGAGAAGGCAGCAAAGCCTAGTGTGCCGTGCAAGGCAAGGGTTCTGGCTCTGGCTGAACGTGGACGCTGTGCGCAGATCACTTCGGTGGCCGAACCATCACGGACTGCACGCTGGACACAACTCATGGCAGACGGCAGCTTGAACGAGCTCAAGGCGAACTGCGAGCGCTGGTGGCTGCCTCGCCCGCATCCACTCGCAATGTACTCCAAGCTCAAACCTGCCATCTTTGAATTCAAGGCACGCGCGGCATGCCTCCTGACTGCATCCGCAGCTGCAGCTGTCTCATGCTGTTTACCTTGTTTGGTGCAGCCTGCAAGCAAACCAGACAACACTGAGAATGTTTACACCGAGTTCCGCTACTGGGGCGGGTACTATTGGAGAATCATGTTTAAGAAGGTAGAAAGCAATTTGGGGGTGTATGTTATGCCATCAGTTCGCTACGATAGGGTCATCTTCGTCAAGGAGAGCGAGACTTTACCTGGAATTCAGGTGTGGCGCATTTGAATGCCCTGCTGATAGCTGAATTACCTGCGCGCGCAAATCACAGGCCAAAAGACGACTGTCGTTCTCTGCAGGTTGAGTACACAGTGTGGCTCTGCGCCGCCAACTGCACGTCTGATTTGGAGGCAGTCTCCGCCACCGCCTACTTCCAGCCCTGCTCTGGCTATGGCTGGGGTCGATCAGCAGTAAAGGAGGCCCCCGAGCATGGCGGGCAGCCCATCACCTGGGACGGCTTCTGGGCGGAGGGCTCCCGCTTCATGCACAACGGCGGCGCCCGCGTTCGCCTGCAGCTGCGCCTGCCCGGCCACTAGCTATTCTTTGGTACACACATGTCCTCGTGCTGTACAGATGACATGTCATCTTTGTTGATTGACTTTTCTTGTAATTGCGGAACATCATGCATCAGGGAGACATTGCAGGCAACAGCAGCAAAATTGCAAGTAAAGCTGCTGCGCCCGCTGCCATCCTGGGCGATGGGCGGTACGGGGCGCTGCGGAGCGGGCCCACTCGGCGGCGTTGGAGGGCCTGCAGCGCCACAGCAGCACAGGAGAGGCAGCAGCAGCGGCAGGAGGCGGGGGCGGCTGGAGCGGGGGCGAGGCGCCCCTGCTCCTGCACTGCCGCAGCCTGGCGGTGCGCAAGCCCGGCGTGGGGCGGGAGCAGGTGGTGGTGACGGCGCCGCTGCCGGCCAGCTGGCGGGCGCTGCTGGCGCACCAGGGCTGGGCGCTGCCCGACCCCGGCTGACTCGCTGGCCTGGGGATGGTACGGTCCCTTACACCGACTCGTAGCGTGACGGTACGATGGGTTACACAGGCTGTAAAGCAATCCTTGGTAGGCAGGCAATTTGTGATTGAACTTATGTGGAAGAAAGGTTGGTGATCTAGCAGCGCTGCCCGCATGACACCAGGGCAGGCGCAGACGCGGGGGGCCAGCGACAGTGACAAGACAACTTCATCACGTGGTGAGGCACGCACAATCATGAATCGGTGGATGTGTGTTTGGGGACAGATGCAGGTATCGGGGCAAGGCGGGGTGGCATGTTGCAGCCCCAAGGCCAGCGCCGGTGGTGGCTGTACTTTGCTGGGGTGGAAAGTGGAGTTGGGAGGAGCGGATGGTGGCTGTACGGGAGAGATGTACAAGCGGGGGGCTGGTGGCAAGCCAGCAAAGAAGTGTTTGTAAAGTCAAATCGTGCAAGGGAGGGAAGACCTAGAGAAGGCGCACTTTCTTTCCTAACAACATCTGCAGCCTGCCGCAGGAGGCGACCTAAAGAAAGGTGCCTGGCAGCAACCCCGCCAAGAGCGAGTGGCCTGGGTAGGGGATGGTGTAAGGGGCGGGGTTGGGGGTTGGAGAAGGAGCATGGCGGCGGTACAGGGGCGGCTAGTGCGGTAAGCGGGGGAGGTGGTACCAAGTTCTTTCTAGGGCAGTGCTGCGAGGGGAGCCGTGGGCACCGAGCCAGCTGCTAGGGGTGGGTGCGCTATGGTACAGGGGGCAGGGACAGGGGGGTCTATGCGCGCTCAAGGGACGGAAACAGTCGAGGCAGTGGTGGTGGCGTGGTGCATGGTGTGGTGTGTGGTGTGGTGCGAGGTGCAGCGGACCCAGGGTAAGGAGCGGCGCAGCGCACTCGCTGCGCCTGGCCTGGCGTGGGCAGGAAGCTCTGCCAGCGGGGCGAGGTGATGGGGTCGGGCAGGGCTGGCGCGCTTCCCGGGCCAGCCCAGGCGTGCCGTCAGTCCAGCGCCACCCCCCAGGGGTGCTCCACCCGCCCATACTGTATGTCCAGCAGGGCGCGCTGCAGGCGCGACGACAGGCTGCCCGCGGGGTCGTCGTCGGGAGAGAAGCGGGTGCGATAGACCTCGCCGTTGGCGCTGCGGGGGCAGGGGTGGGGGCAGGTGTGGTTCAGGGTTGGGCGGTTTGCGGGCGGGCAGGCTTTCTGAGGGCAGGCGGCGCCGAGGGCAAGCAGCAGGGCAGGCGGAGACGGGGAGAGGGCAGCAGGCAGCAGCGCGGGGAGTGGCCGATGGCTCGGCAGGGAGCCGCGCCCCTTGCTGGGCCGAGGCAGCAGGCTGTTGGATGGCTGCCAGAGGGCTGGGCGCCTCACCGGATGAGGGAGCCCACAGGCTGCACGATGCAGGCGGTGCCCGAGCCAAAGATCTCCAGCAGCCGCCCTTCCTCGCTCGCCTGCAGCGTGTGTGGGGCCACGCGGTGTGAGAGGGGGTTGGGTAGTGTGAACCACAGCCCGCCCGCCCAGCTAAATTATACATCCGCGCGCGACAGGCAGGCCTGCGCCCCATGCCGGCCCCAGCTTTCAGGCAGCTGAAACCATATAACTGCAGCAACACAGCGCCTGTTGAGACCCCGTCACGCCACAGCCACACCACAGCCCCGCCGCACCCCCTTTCCCCGCCCACCTGCCGCACTTCCGCGATGGTGATGGGCCGCTCCTGCACCTCGCACTCACCCCACCCGCTGGCCAGCTGCAGCACCGAGTCGCGCGTCACGCCCGGCAGGATGGTGCCCGTCAGGGCGGGCGTGGCCAGCACGCGCCGGCCGTCGCGCTGCGGCAGGCACCGAGCAGGGGGCGGACGGCTTGTTGGGCGGCAGCCAGGTGCAGTCACCCATAAAGCACTGCGGGGCAAAGCCCTGGCAGCTCTGGCAAGCACCTCCAAGAAACCCGCAGATGCCCCACATCCTTCCCAATGACGGCACGCCTGCTGCCCTCCCCTCCTTCCCCACCCCACCCCCCACACCCACCCACCTGCTCCATGTAGAAGAACATGTTCATGGCGCCGCACTCCTCAAACTCGCCGTGGTCGGGGTGCTGCGGGGGGGCAAGGCGCAGGGCGGCAGGGAGCGGCGGCGGGTCGAGGCGCCCGCGGTCCTGTCTGTGGCTGGCACAGCGAGCAGCTGTGGTGTGCATGGCACGGGCAGTGGAGCGGCTCCTGGGGGCGGTACTGCCGCGACTGTACCGCACCTCGTGCGACTCGCGGAAGGTGTAGAGCACCTGCGAGGTGCCGTACCGCTGCGCCGCCTCCACCTGCACGGCACGGGCAGCACCGGGCAGCCGCAGCCCCGCCCTTCATCAGTCGCCGACCGGTGCATCAGCAAGCAATGGCGGCATGCGGGCTCAAAGCAGCACACACCCTCCGCAGGCAGCAGCGATGGCACAGCCAGCCCCCTGCTGCACTGCCGCCGCCCCGTTCCCACCCTGCCTGCCTACCTGCGGCTGGATGGTGGGCGCATAGTTGCCCCCCACCTTGCAGTCGCCCACGCCGCCCGGCCAGGCGCGCCTGCAGGCGGGAGCGCAGAACGGCGGCAGGCCGGTCGCACAGCGCGCGCCGCGCCTGCCCGCAGCAAGCCCGGCCTTGGTTCCGACCTCCTGCAGCAGCAGCACAAGTCAAGCCACAGCACCCCGCCCCACAGCCCCACCTGTTCAGCTCGTCCACAAAGAGCGAGATGGGCTTGAGGCCGGTGGGGAAGTAGGGTCCCACGGGGCTCAGCAGGATGCTGATGGTGCTGCGCGCCGGCTTGGCCACGCCCAGCGCCGAGGCTGCAGGCAGGCGGGGGGGCAGGCGCGGACTGAGCGCCACGCCGTCGCCAGCACCACCACCGCGCCCACACTGCCGCCGGCCACGAGCCGCCAGGCGGCGACCGAGAGCCGGCCATGCCATGCCCCCGCGTTTCCTCCCTCGTGGCCTGGCAGCAACCACACCACATGGACCACCAGCCAGCGCTGCCGCCGTTACGCTGCGACAAGAAGGGCTGCACGGCGCGGTGCATGGCAGGGGGCCGCCGCCTGCCAGCGCCTCACCGCTGGAGAAGATGAAGGGGCGCACGTAGATGGAGTAGCCCTCCCGCTCGGGCAGCCAGCTGCGGTCCACCATCAGCAGCTGCTTCAGGCACGCCAGCAGCTCCTGCGGGGGCGGGCGGCGCGGGGGAGGGTCGCAACGCGGCGTGGAGGCTGGCCTGCCGAGCCTCCGCCCCTGCCTGAGGCTGAGCCACTAATAGCGCTGCCAGCACACCACCAGAGGGCAGGCGGTGTGATAGTCCGGGGCAGGCAGTACCGGCCGATAGGCACCGAAGCAGCAGCCCCGCAGCTGGCCCTGCCCCACCACGACCACCCCATCTCTTCCCCCTTTCCTCCACACCCCACCTGCGGGTCAAAGTCTGCCAGCTGCAGGCGGCGCGCGGAGCGGCGCAGGCGCGCCATGTTGAGCTCCGGCCTGAACAGCCGGGTGCGGCCGTCCACGCCGGCGTACGCCTTCATGCCCTCGAAGCAGCACAGGCCGTAGTGCAGCACCTGGGCGGCCGGGTGGACTTGCAGCAGGCCAAAGGGCTTGACGGCGGGGCGGCCCCACCCCTGCCCCACCACATGCTCCACATGGAACATGTGGTCAGTGAAAACGGTACCAAACTTGAGGTCCTGCAGAGGGGTGGGCGGGAGGGCGGCGAATGGCGTCGGATTCGGGCGGCGGCCGCCGGCAGGGCGACAGAATGCCGTGCCGCCGGCGCCTGCGCCGGCGCCAGGGACAGGCAGCAGGTGCGGCCGCCTGCCGGCGTGCCGCGGCAGGGCGCGGCCATGGCGCAAGCTGCGCTGCGGTCGAAAGAGTGCCGAGTGCGGTGCCGCCGGCCGAGGGCGGCGCCGCCGCCCCATCCCGGCGGTCTGTGCACCCACCTCTAAGTTGATGGGCGGCTGCTGCACGGGGCTGCGCTCTATGAGCAGATCCCGCGCCCTGAAGGTGTACTGGGCATCCTGCAGGGGCATGGCGGCGCTTCCTGGCTGGTGAAGTGCCCGAGGCTGCCATGACGTCACCCCGCCAGCGACCGGCTGCGCCGAGGCGCTGGCAGCAGCACCCTTACCGCCGTGCGGTCGCCCTCCTCGGGGCTGGGCTGCGCGGAGAACCACCTGGGAACCGCTGCTGTCAGGGCTGCGCAGGTCCCAAGGGCGCTGCTGGAGGAGAGCAGCGAGCGCCCGAGGGCAGCAGCGCTGAACAGTGCGGGCCGCAGCATGGATTCAGTTGAGTGCTAAGAATGAACAGGAGCTGTCCCCAGGCGCAGGGAGGCAGCAAGTGCGCGCGGCAGGTTGAACTGTCGAGGCGGGTGGCGGCCTCAGCGGCACGCCGCAAGCTCCAGCCCCAGCAAGAGCCCACCAGAGGCGAGAGCGCCGCTGCAAAGTGTTCCGGGACGGGCCAGCCGGTTCCTTTTGGACTCGGGTGCTGACAAGGCGTGCATTGTCAAGCTGGTGAATGCCTAACTGCGCTCCCTGCCATCCTCGATCAACGGGAGCGTCTGCCGGTCCTATTTCGATCCAGCAGGGCGCGCTGGGAGCGGCTTGGGTGGCCACCCACCCCTGCACCTTCTCGGCCTCTGGGGCTGCTGGCAGCCCCTGAACGCTCACCGCGGATCAGCACTGCTGTATTGGGCATTGCAGCGGCCTCCCAACAAGGCATGGCAGCCATGGCGGCGGCAGCGGCGGCAGCGTTGCGCCGCAGCCGCCGGGTGGGCACAGCAGGCTGTGAGGCGGCCCTGTGCTCCCTGCAGTGCCTGCCCTGCATGATGGATCAAAGCAGCGGGTCGCCCTGTGTCGTGGCAGCACGCACGCCTGGTGCCTTGGTCAGCCCCTGGGCAGTGCACGCCCCAGAGCAGCAGCTGCAGCTACGTCGCTGGCGACACAACCTCCAGGAACCTCGGCACTGCCACGCTATGCTGCCTCCGTCGCTGCGCCCATATAGCACAGAAGCCAGGCCTGGAGGCAGCGGCCGCGATCCCCACTCACCGGGGCAGCAGAAGCGGCAGGCTGCACGGCACCCCGCGGCGGCGGCAGCGCAGGCTGCGGCGGCGTTTGAGGCGGCGGGCTGGTCGCGGCGTGAGGTGCTCAACGTGCCCAACGTGCTGTCCATGCTGCGCCTGCTGTCCGGCCCCGTCATTGCCAGCTGGATCCTGAGCGGGCAGGCAAGGGGACACGCCCGCGGCGGCGCCGGCGGCGTCACCTCTCCTCGCCGCCTGTGTGTGCTGCCTGGCGGCTCAGCCACGTCATCGTCCATGCTGCGCTCGCCTGCCCCAGGCCTGACGCACCCACTCCCACCCACGCCTCCCCTCCCACCCATCCCCCTGCGCCCCCTCTTCCGCGCCCCGCAGTGGTCGCTGGCGGTGCCTGCGCTGGCTGTGTCTGGCGCCACCGACTGGGCCGACGGCTACGCAGCGCGCCGCCTCAACCAGCCCTCTGTCATCGGCTCCTACCTCGACCCCCTGGCAGACAAAGTGCTGATCTGCAGCGTGGTGGCGGCGCTGGGGTGGTCGGTGAGTGTGCCCGGCCGGCTGCTGCTGGGCTGGGGATGGGGCTGGGGCGGGCCGGGCGAGCTCTGTGGCCCCTGCAGGGCTGTTGCTGCCTGCTGCTCGCCTGCCTGCGGGCAAGGCTGGCCGCCTCTCAAGCATGCGCCCCGGGCCCCTGCACGCGCCCCCTCTTTGGTCATTGCAGGGCACGCTGCCTGCCCCGGTGGTGGCGATTGTGGTGGGGCGTGACGTGGTGCTGGTGGCGGGCGCCTTTGTGGCACGCGCCAAGTCGCTAGGCTGGCGCTGGCCCGGCTGGGCGGAGTTCTTCAGGGTGCATCCTGCGGCGGCAGCCGCGGCGCCAGCGCCCGGCAGCGACGGCAGCGGCAGCGGCAGCGGCGATGGCGGAAGTGCGCTGTCGGCGGCAGCTCCGGCAGCGGGGCCGTCAGCGGCAGGCGGAGGGGGAGCGGCAGGAGGGCAGCCGGCAGCAGCAGCGGGGGCGGCGGGCGCGGCAGGGGCCAGCGGTGGAGGAGGGCGGCCGGCCCGCGGCGGTCCGGCCCCCGCGGCGCCGCTAGTGCAGCCGCTGTACATCAGCAAGGTCAACACAGTGCTGCAGCTGGGCCTGGTGGGCACCTGCATGCTGCGCGCGTGGCTAGGGTGGCCCGGCGAGGCGGCGGTGTGGGCAGGCAGCGGCCTGACCGCGGCCACCACCATCTGGAGCAGCTGGGCCTACCTGCAGGCCTACCGGCAGGGCAGGGTGCTGGCGCCCGCGCCACCGCCGCGCTGAGGGCAGGGAGGCGCTCACAGCTGAGCTGCGCCGGGTGACGGGAAGGCGGCGGCGGGGCGTCTGTTTGTGCCTGCACCTGTGTGTTGCCTGCGGCCTTGTTCCCCAAGCGCATGTCGCACGATCTGATCACTGTAAATTTGAGGTGCATTTCTGCGCACGATGAAAATGAAGGGCCCCAAGCCCTCCGCCTTTGGTTTGTCTGCCAACAGGGACTGCATCAGGGTCCAAACCAACGGCTCTCAGGCGTGCGCTCCGCCTCCGTTCATTGCCTAAACCATCTTTGTTCCCAGCAGCCCACGCTCCAGCAGCACCAAACCCTCCCCATCCCCGCAGCGGCGACCCCACTCCCAGCGGCTGCACCCCAGAGCTCCCAGCGGCCTCCAACATGGGCTGCGGGGCCAGCACGCCCAAAACCAAGGACTATGGCACCACCACGGCGGCTTCGCACAAGGCCGCAAGAACAAAGCCGGGGGACGCCAAATCGGAGTTTGACATCGGCCCAGGCTACAAGGCGGTGAAGCACCTAGGTAGGGGCCCGATCACCGCGGGGCCATTCCTGCGCCCGCCGCCGCCCGGCGCGCCAAGGCGGCACCCCACGCCCCCGCGCGTGCCCTGCAGGCCAAGGCGGCACCGGAGACACGTGGCACTTCAAAGACTTGAGCAACGGGCGGGATGTGGCGGTCAAGTTCATCAAGCGGCCGCTGCCCAAGGTGCTACAGATCAACATCCTGCGCGAGTTCTCGGTGAGCGGGGTGGCTGCCACCAAGCGCGGCTCCTCGCCGCCCGCTGCGGCAGGTCACCGAAGCCGCTGCCGCAGCCGCTACCGCACGTTGCTGCAATGCCGCTGCTGCCGCCGCGGGGCAAGCCATGGACGGCACGCTGCGCCCTGCCGTGCCGCTGGGTCACGGCGGCGTGCTCGCTTCCGCTGGAGTGGCCAGAACAGGCGCAGCTGCCGTGCCAGCATCCAGCTGCCAAGGCTGTGGTCAAGGGACTGTCGCCACTCCAGCAGCTGCCCGGCGGGGAGCGCGTTGCATAGCCTCACTGCCCGCCGGCACGGCCCCGGCACCCGCCCTGCCCCGGCACCCACCATGCCCCGCTGGCTCCACCCCCATTTTCCCCGCCTGGCCCCGGCCCTCTGCAGATCCAAGCCGACCTGGGCTACGGCCATGAGCACGTGATCAAGGCGTACGAGGCGGTGCTGACCCCCTCGCACCTCTGCCTAGGTGCGCGCCTCGCCCGCCGGCAGTCGCGGCGCCGCGCCGCCGCGCGTGCAGCGCTGCGGCTTCAGGCAGCTGCCGCCGAGGCGGCGTGTGCCAAGCAGCAGCAGCATGGTCGCACGTCTTGTACCGAGCCTTCAACCGGCTGGGGCCTCTCCCCCACGCCCTCCTGGCACCAGCACGCAGCTCCCCGCGCCCGCGCCCCGCGTCCTACCCCCACACCCACACCCGGCTGGCCACCCCGCCCCTGGCCCTGCCCCGCCTGCAGTGATGGAGATGGCGGCGGGCGGCAGCCTGACGTCGTATGTGGCGGACAAGTGGCAGAAGGCGCAGGCGCTGGGGCTGTTCCTGAGCGAGGACGAGGCGCGGTACTTCTTCAAGGTACCGGTACCGCACATGATGTACCGCCCGGCTTCTGGCACCCGGCCGCCTGCCCTTCCCTGTGCGGGATCTGGCTTCTCCGGGCTGGATGCATCAGGCTGGCGGGGCGGGCCTTACCCGCTGCGCCGCACTCGCGCCGCCCCCCTCTGCAGCAATTCCTGAGCGCTGTCAAGTACTGCCACAGCCACTGCGTGGCGCACCGAGACCTCAAGCTGGACAACACGCTGCTGGACAGGTGGGGGAGGGATGGCACTTGTGTGGTGGTGGTGTGGTTGTTGTTGTTGATGGTGGTGGAGGTGTGTGTGTGTGGTGCATCTGTTCTTGTGGCGTGGCGGTGTGTGTCGCGTGTGGTGGCGGGGCGAGCCGCGTGGCTGGGCGGCGCGGGTCCGCCGCCCCCTGGCTCCCTCCCCATCATCCCACATGCTCACTCGCCCGCTCTCCGCGCGTCCCGTCTGCCGCCCACCCTGTCGGCAGCGGCGACCCGCCCGTCCTCAAGATCTGCGACTTTGGCTTTGCCAAGACGTGGAGCGAGGAGGCAAATATGTTCACGCAGATAGGGTGAGGCGGGGGCTGCGCTTGGCTGTGCGCGACAGCAGGAGCAGCGGCAGCGGAGGCGGCGGCGGTTAGCGGCAGCGGCAGCCTCGCCCGGGCGTTGCTGCGGGCGCGGTGTGGGTCAGGAGCAGCGTGCAGGGCGTGGGGGAGTTGGTGCATGGCGGTTGTGTGCGCACCTTGAACGGGCGGCTGTGCGCCGCCCCCCCCTGGCTTGCAGCACGCCGGTCTACATGAGCCCTGAGCTGATCAACAGCAAAAACGGCAAGGTGTGGGGGGAGGGAGGGGCAGGCAGGCATGGGGCGTGGGGGGCAGGCATCGACAGGCGGCATGGAGCGCGCCGCCGCGGCCGATCGGGACTTTTGGAGTGCTGCCCTGAGATGCTGCCAAACCTTGGTGGTCGCCAGGCACTAGCTCGCTGCCGCCGCCCATGTCCCCCTTCACACTCCCACCCTCCTGCCCCCGCCCTGGCCCCCTGCGTCGCCCACACCACAGATTGGGTACGACGGGCGCAGCGTGGACGTGTGGGCCAGCGGCATCCTGCTACTGGTCATGCTGCTGGGCTCCTTCCCCTTTGACCACACAGGTGGGGCTGGCGGGCGGGCGGGCGGGCTGGCTGGGCACGCCTTGCCAGCTGGCGGGCAGCGCTGCCCCGCCCTGCTTCCCCACGCGCCGGCCGTGCCGCTGGTGCTGGTGCTGTCCCCGCACGCCACCACCACCACAACAACAACAATTACCACCACCACCACACCTCCCCGCACCACACCACCCCCCACCCCGAAGAGCACCCCGACCCCAACCCCAGCGAGGCGCACCTGGAGGTCTGGCTGCAGCAGGTGTCCAAGCGGTGGAGGGAGGTGCCGCACATGGCGGAAGCCATCAAGAAGGTGCGTGTGTGTGTGTGGGTGGGGGGGGGGGGGGGGGCAGCTGTACCAGGCACCAGCCAGCCGCGCTGCGCGCCGGCCGGCACTTGCCCATGCCCAGCTGCCTCTTCTCCTGCCTGCGCGCGATGACACACACACACTCTCATCCACCCGAATGTGACAATGCCCGCCACGCACCACCACAGCCTCACCCCCAGCCTCCCCACCCACACCACCACCACACATTCCCTGCGCCCCCGCCCCACCCCCCGCCCCCACCCCCACCGCCGCAGCTCTCCCCCGAGTGCAAGGACCTGCTGAACCGCATCTTTGTGATTGACGCCAAGAAGCGGATCACGATTGAGGACATCGAGCGGCACCCCTGGTGAGAGCGGGGGTGGTGGGCTGGTGGTGGGGGGCTGGGCTGGGCTGGGGCTTGCGGGCCCTGATGCGTGCCGACGTCTGCGTTGGCGTGTTGGCGCGTGCTGTTGTTGTGTTGTGGTGGGCGGTTGGCTGGGTTTTGGTGTGGTGGGGAGTGGTGCGGGGGTGGAGGAACAAGTGTGGGCGAGGCGAGGCGTCGAGGCGTGCCGCCGCCGGCCCGGGGCGCTGATGCCAGCGTGCGGCACGGTGCGGTACTGCAGGTACCGCAAGGGCCTGCCGCCCAAGTACCAGGAGGTGATGGACCGGCTGGCGCGGCAGCACGCCGAGATCGAGACCTACCACGAGATGCACAACAAGCGGGAGGTGTGTGGGCTGGGGCCTGGCGCGCCTGGACGGTCTTCTGTTGTGTGGCTGCAGGCTGCAGCTGGTGCTGGCTGCTCGGCCTCCCCGCCCAGCCCGCCGGCCTCCGCCCCGCCTGCCTGCGCGCCGCTGCGCAGGATGCTGTGGTGATGCGCAGCAAGGCGCTGGAGGAGATGGTGGCTGAGGCCACCACGCGGCCCATGCCCGGCAGCGAGGTGCCCATCAAGCGCATCGACCTGCGGGAGGCGGGTGGGTGGCGGGGAGGCGGGCAGGGTGGCGTGCCTGCGCTGGGAGGGTGGTGGGGAGCGGGTGGGGGGCTGTGGAGGGCGGCGGGCCCGCAAGTCTTGTGCGGGCGTGGTGGGGAGGGCCTCAGTGTGCGCTGTGGTGGGCCGAGAGGGTGGGCAGGTGGCTGTGCGGCAGGCGGGAGGCTGGGTCGGGATGCCGTAGAAGCGCAGTTGGGAAGAATGGGTGGGCCGGCCTGTTTGCTCACGCCGCTTCCCCCCCGCCTCCCCGCTGCAGCCGTGCTGGAGGGCGGGGTGCACGACCAGGCGGCGGCAGCGGCGGCAGCCACCGCGCCTGCATCATAGGCTGGCTGCTGTTTGCCACACCTGCACATCGCCTGCTCCTCGAGAGCCTCAGCCCTAGCCCCCTCCCCAGCCTGCGCTGGCGTGGCTGCACAAGCAGCCGCGCCGTGGCGCGGCCTGGCCCTCCTGCCGACACGCACACCCTGTGACCCCAACCAACCAGCCAACCCACCGCCATGTGCTTAGACCGCCCACGCCGCCGCCTGCTCTGCTGCCACATCTGGCGACGTCCTGCCTGCTCTGCCGTTGTACCCTCTCTCACACCCCTTTTGTCGCACCACTGACTCCTGCGGCGGCGCCGTGCCACCCTCACCCACCATTTCGTTTGCCACTTCTGCCCCCTTCCAGTGCTGCTTGCTGCCCCCCGTGCTCAGCTCCCGCCCCCTGCGTGCGCCCACCATGTTGCGAGCGCGTGCTGTTGCCTGCCGCGCCGTGTGTGTGCGCCGCACGGCCCTGTGCAAATGATCATTCTCCGCGCTGCCGCCTGTCCAGAAGGATCAACTGCCTCATTGTAACATCACACCAGGCCCCATGGGGCCCCATTGGGCCCCAGCACAGCTCTCGTTCCCAGCGAAGCTCCGCCCCTGCGCCTTCCGCCCCTTCCACTCCCGCCAGCTGGCCATGGTCGCCCAACCCCACACCAAGCTCCAATCGCTTGGACAGTGCATGCACTGAGGAGGCCGCGCAGCAGTAGGGCAGAGGGCAACCCGACCGCCCTGGTTGCGAGGCCAGGGCTGCAGGAGGCGCGATCATGGCGACCTCCACCGCCACCTACGTCTCGGTGCGCACCCAGCCGCTCCCCCGCAGCCGCCGCACCTCGTGCCCCGCCTATGCCGCCGCCGCCGCCTCCGGAGGCGCACCGTCCGCCCGCCGGGCGCCAACGGCCGTGCCCCGCCAGCTGATCGCGCCACCCATCCTCTGCCTGCGCAGGAGGAGCTGATGGTGGTGTGGCTGCTGCTCATCGTCACCATCGTCACCTCCTACTTCATCCAGCGCCAGCGTTTCCGCTGGCTGCCGCCCTCCAGCTCCGCCATGCTGCTGGGCATCGGCGCGGGGGTGGCCAGCCGCATCGCGGGCCTGGCCCAGCCCCTGCGCTTCAGCCCCGCCGCTTTCTTCTACGCCCTGCTGCCGCCCATCGTCTTCCAGGCGGGATTTGCGCTGAAAAAGAAGGTGCGGGCATACGGGCGGCGGGAGGCGGGCCGGCGGGCTGCACGGCGGCAGGGCCGCGGCAAGAGGCTGGCGAGGCGGCGAGGCACGCGACGTAGCCGGACGCAGCCGGCGCCCTCCCAGGGCTCCCCGCATGCAGCCGATCGGCGGGCTGTGCTCTGCTGGAGCCCGACCGTAAAGCTGTGCCTGCCCCTTGTGCCTGCCTGCCTGGCGGCCCCCAACCCCTGCAGGAGTTCTTTGCCAACTCCGGCGCCATCCTGACGTATGCGGTGAGGGTGGGGCCTGGGGCCGGCCCTCGCTGGGCTGCCACCCGGCATCCGCCCAGCTCTGATGCCTCCCTGCCTCCCTCGGCCACCACACCATCCCCACCTCGACTCCCTCGCTAAGAATCTCTCTCTCTCTCTCTCTCTCTCTCTCTCTCTCTCTCTCTCTCTCTCTCTCACGGGAGCGCGCACACGCGCGCACACACACACACACACACACACACTCGACCCCACTGGCCACCCACTTTCCACCTCGGCTGCGCAGGTTCTGGGCACCTTCATCTCCGCCCTCGTCTTCGGCCTCTGCACCTACCTGCTGGTGCTCATCGGCCTGGTGCGGCGCAGCCACCTGGCGGGCTCGCCCTTTGTCGAGTGCCTGGCATACGGTGGGCTGTGGCGGCGGCGGCTGCGGGGCGGGCTGGGAGGAGGTCGTGGTGGGCTGGGGGTGGCGTGAGGCTGGGAGGTGGCGGCGGGCGTCGCTGCAGGGCAGGCTGAGGGAGGGGGCGGTCGGTCAAGAAGGCAGAGGAGGGGGTGGGGATTGGGATGGGGTGCTTGCCTTACCGGCCGCAGCTGCCTGCCTGCCTGCCTGCCTGCCTGGCCGTGCCCTCCCACAGGCGTGCCATCTGTGCGCCTGCCGTGCCTGCAGGCGCCGCCATCAGCTCGATCGACCCTGTGGCCACCCTGGCGGTGCTGGCAGATGTGGAGGTGAGCTGAAGAGAGCGGCGGCGGTGGTGGGTGGTGGTGGCACGTGGCGTGTGCGCGTCTGTTTGGTGGTGGGTGGCGGGATCGCTGCCTGCTTCGGGGCCTGCCTGCGCTCGCCTGACAGCACTCCAAGCGGCCCGCTGCCTGCCCCCATGCGCCCCACAGGTGCCCCCGCTCCTGTTCAACTTAGTATTTGGAGAGTCGGTTCTGAATGAGTGAGTGGGGTGGCGGGGGCCGCTCCGTGCAGCAGCACGGGCAGGGGCACGAGTTCACAGCCCGGCGGGACAAGCAGCAGACAGCACCGCCATATCCGGCCCCTCTGCCAACCGCCGCCGCTTTGCTCCTGCGCGCCTCCCCTCCCCTCCCTGGCCTGGCCTGCCCCGCCCCGCTTGTTCCCTGCGCAGCGCGGTGGCTATCGTGCTCTTCCGCTCCCTCTCCGATTTCGCTGACAAGCCCATGGGCTTGGGCACGCTGCCAGGTGGGTGGGGCAGCGACCCAGCCGCTACCACCACCTGCCCGCTGCCCGCCACTGTTGCGGCCAGCGGCTGGGATGGGATGCCTGCCCGCCCGCGGCCCTGCGCCCTGTCCAGCTGCCGGCCCTCGGCGCCGGCCGGCCCCCGCCCTTGTCCTTACCCCCTCCCTCCCCCACTGCGCCACCCCGCCCTCTCCCACACCCCACCCACCCCTCCACGCACCCCCCTGCCCCGCAGCCGTCATGCTGCGGTTCTGCGTGCTGGCACTGGGCTCGCTGCTGATCGGGGCGGGCGTGTCGCTGGCATGCGCCTTTGTGCTCAAGCGCTTCGACCGGCTGGATGCCTCGGGTGGGTGGCTTGGTGTGGTGTGGTGTGGCGGTGGTGTCTTGTGTGTGTGTGTGTGTGTGTGTGTGAGTGAGTGTGCTGGCCTTGCTGCGG